GGAAGCGAAGGTGGTGAAGAGGAAACCCACTCCTGTGCCCGGCTCCCAGGCCTTGGTGAAACAGGGGCTCTGGAGTTTGGGCCACACAAAGGCCTCCATCCTCTCAGGACTGGATTTCTCAGCCTTTTTCTCTAACAGTGCAGAGCATTGTCCCATTGATTAGCTCATTTCCCTTCTTATTTTGCCTCTGAGGCTGATGGGAGCATAATGCCTACTCAAGCAACTTCTTCTAGGCATGGGGTCCCTACGAAGGAGGGGCCATCCTGAGTGCACAGGCAGGGGTTAAAGGGCAGTACTGACTTGAGGCCCAGAAATCTAAATTTATCCATTCAGTCAACTTTAAGGAGAAGAAAAAACTAAGGCCAGGAAGTTAGCAACAGAGCTAAGTCAAAAACCCAGAATCCGTGTGCCCACATTTGCTGTGTTCCATGTTTAGGCTTCCCTCTTTAAATTCTGAAAGAAAAAATATATATACCAACGTAATTTTAGAACTGGAAGAGACCTTGGCAATCATGTAGCCCACACTCTTCATTTGACCAAGGCAGAGGTGTAGGCTCAGAGAAAGGGGAGTGTCCAAGTTCACATAGTTGGTAAGTAGTAGGTGCAGTGTCCAAGTTTACACGGTTGGTAAGTGGCCTCGAACCCATGTCTCCAGTGCTTTTTCTGCTGTGCCGTGCTGCCACCCATGTTTGTTAGGTTGTCTTTGCATACTCCTAGCACTCCAGTCAGAACCACTGCCACTAGTCTAAACCTCTGTCTACAGCAACACCCAGAAATGTTGTCATGGGTGCTAAACGATGATGGGCTGTCCTCTCAGACAGGGCGGCCGGCAGAGATCTCCAATGCAGAGTTCTGACAGAGAGCCCAGCCCAGGCCTAAAATAGTCTTTTAAAATTAAATTTACTGGTTGTTGTTTTTCCCATTATAAAAGTAATACACAGTCATTATAGCAGATATGGAAAATACTTAAAAGTAGAGATAAGAAAAACATCGCTGGTGTTTCACCACCCAAGAAAAACCCCTCTCGATACATCGATAGATTTCTAGTCTCTCCCCCATGAATAACAAATATACATAGTTTTAATCTATCATATCATAAATAAAATTTGAATTCCTACTTTATCAGTAACTTTAAACCTGTTACTACAAATACTTCATTCATATACTTTTACAGACTGCATAACATTCCATTGAGTGGACTGCCAACCATAACTTATTTAATTTTGTTAGACACTTGGATTATTTACAGTTGTCCCTATTACAAGTAACACAGAGATGAGAGTTTTTGTGCCTGAAGCTCCTTGTGTATTTAGGCTTATTTCCTGAAGCTAGAATCAGGCCCATTCAATCTCTAATGCTGACAGTCTAATGGTAGAGGAAAAACCAACAGCAAAACGAGATAATTACTCAGGTGAGATGAAAATGATGGGTAGATTAAGGACTCTGCAGGTAGGTTGGGAAACAGGTGGAGTCCCTCAAAAACACCTTTCTGAGTGGGCTCCCAGCTGTGATCTATGACCACTAACTACCAGGCCTCCCGTTTGAATACCTGAGGCTTGATACATAGTCCAAGTGAATAGTCTAAAGAAAATGATCCAGAAGGAATTTGAAAGAGAATAGGGTTTGGGGGGAGACACTTAGCCTGAAGATTAGAGCAGGAGATGTAAATGTAAACAGTCCTGGAGCAACAGCTAGGTGGGGTGTGAGGCCCCAGCCTTTCCCCTGCTCCCCAGGGAGAGAAATCAGCTGAAGCTAGAAGCGAAGGCCCAAGGGAAGGGAGTGGAGGGAAGGGGAGCAGAGCCAGGGCCTCCCAGTGAGCCCCAATTCCCTAGCAACAGAGGAGGCACCAGAACTCAGATGAAGGGTCAGCCTGGCACTCCAATAGTCAACTTATTCCATGAACGTATGGCTGGCACAGGAGATGCTGAGATGAGCTCGACACAGCCCCTGCCTTCATAGGGTCACAGTCTAGAGGGCTCTAGACATGGGGCTCTAGACATTTCATGACAGGCCCTCGTGGTCTGTGGCCCTGGGTCTGAATGTGTGCTGGGCAATGGAGGAAACTCATTGAGGGCAATCCGAGAGGGGTCTCTGTAGAAGTTTCCCAGGGCTGTTGGAACAAAGTACCAGAAACTTGCTGGCTTAAAACAACAGAAATTTATTTTCTCTCTCACAGTTCTGAAGGCCAGAAGTCTAAAATCAAGATGTTGTTAGAAACATGTACCCTCTGAAGCCTCTAAAGAAGAATCCTTCCTGCCTCTTCAGCATCCGGTGGTTGCTGGCA